AGGGATGAGGCATCACAGCTGCGGGCAGCCAGACAGCAAGACAGCAGAATTGGGAGCCAGGTTCTTGATTACAGAGCGGCCCACTGCGAGGGCTGCCGGGAGGAGGCAGTTGGGAGGCGGCCCATGACCTTAGCGGGCACTCTATGGCCTGAATGTGTGCGTCTCTCCTGCCAGATCATATGGCGAAACCCTAACCCCAAGGTGATGGTGTTGGGAGGGGGGCGCTTTGGGGGCTGATTAGGTTAGGAGGGCAGAGCCCTCAGGAATGGAATGATGAGATTCCAGAGGGACCTCTTGTCCCTCCCACCACGTGAGGGTACAGTGAGAAGAGGGCTATCTGCAACCCGGAAGAGGTTCTCACCAGGACCCCACCATGCTGGCACCCTCATCTTGGAGTTCCATTCCCCAGAACGGTGAGAAGGAAATTTCTGTTATTAGCCACCCAGTGTGTGGTATGTTGTTATATTGCCTGAACAGTCTACGATAAGGATGGAAGTGGGCTGGGAGACAGTCTCATGCATCAGGGGCCAGATTTGAGGGACCAAGGGCAGAGCATGCGGGAGGGCATGGAATCCAGGGGTACAAGTGGTTCCAGAGACATGGCACTGAGAAGGGTGGCAGCGGAGGAGAGAGGGACCCCGAGTGAGGCTGCTGGGTTTGCTGAGGACAGGAGGGGAAAGGCTGGCACAGAAAATGTTGGTGGAAAGCAAGGGGGCAGCCCTAGCTGGTTTGGCTCAGTGGATAGGGCGTTGGCCTGCAGACTGAAAGGTCCCAGGTTCAAATCCCATCAAGGGCACGTGCCTGGGTTGCCGGCTCCTCCCCAGCCCGGGCGCAGGTGGGGGCGTGTGCAGGAGGCAACCAATCCATGTGTTTGTCTCCCATCGATGTTTCTCTCTGTCTCTCCTTCTCCCTTCCACTCTCTCTAAAAATCAATGGGAAAATATCCTCGGGTGAGGATAAAAAAGAAGAAGAAAGGAATGGGGCAGAGTAGGAAGAAGGGGTGACAGTGGAACTTGGTCCTCAAGTATTGAGAAGGTTCCAAGGACAAGTGGTAACTGGACTTGAACGAGGCTGCCCTTCAACCGAGTGCTCCTCATGCGAAGGCCCCTGGGGAAGATGGGAGTGGCTCGAGCACTTTGGATATGGTCCCATCTTTGAAGATCTCCCAGGCCTAGCCCGGCTGGTGTGTCTCAGTGGTTGAGCTTCAACCTATGAACCAGGAGGTCACAGTTCAGTTCCCGGTCAGGGCACAGGCCCAGGTTGTGGGGCGTGCAGGATGCACAGTGGTTAAGCTTCAACTTATGAACCAGGAGGTCACGGTGAGACTCCTGGTCAGGGCACATACCTGGGTTGTGGGCTCGATCCCCAGTGTGGGGCGTGCAGGAGGCAGCCAATCAATGGTTCTCTCTCATCATTGATGTTTCTATCTCTCTCCCTCTCTCTTCCTCTCTGAAATCAATAAAGATATATTTAAAAAAGAAAAGAAAAAAGATTCCCAGGCTTTCCTGGGACCCTGCTGGGCACAGCCTTCCTCTGCACCCTGAATACCCCTCCCTCTTCTCTGCCTCCTCTGAGCTTCAGCCTTAGCTCCTCCTCTCTCCCCTCCCTCCCTCCCTCCCTCCTTCCTGTGATCCGCAATAGCAGGGTGGGCCCGGGGAGGAGGGGACTGTAGAGGCACCGATAAGGGTTAGATAAGGCAGTGTGGCAAGTACCATAGAGTCCTCTTCTGCTACGATTGTCTGCCCCACCTTTATTGATTGCCTTCTCTGTGCGGGACCTAGGGATGATCCCTGGGAGAGGTCAAGGGTCCAGGAGTTGGGGAGAGAGGGGACATGCCAGAGAGGGGAGTGGTGACAGGTGACCGGAAGGGAGGGCCCCCTCAGTGGGTGTGCCCTGCTGGTAGGAGACGAGGTGCTGCCTAGGGGTTTGCCGGTTCCAATGGGTGGCTGGTGAATTATTCATTTATCAACCACTGCACCCAGGCTGCGTGCCAGGAGGATGCCCCGTGACCCAGGGCTTGAAAAATTAATGTGTTCATTGAGTCATTCCCTCGACTCACATTCACGGGCACCTACTGCTTGCTGAGCGCAGCCTCTTCACATCACGAAAGGCCCAGGGGAGCAGCGAGAGTCCCAGCCGCACTACTTAACGGGCGAAAACAGTGGGCGAGGAGGTGACAGGCAGGGGCCAGAGGAAAGAGGGCTACGGTTTGGGGGCGGGCACGTGTATACACGTGTGCACCTCTCTGTCAGTGGTGGGAGTGCCTGAGGGGCATGTGTGTGTTTATGTGTGAGTGCATGGAGAGCATGTGTAAAGCGCATGGATGTGGGAAGCTGGGATCCCTGAAGACCCACAGCTCCTTTAGGTGGGTGCTCCAGGCTGGGGAGAAGGTGGCACTGCTCCTGGCCCAGGGACACACACCAGCGACAGATGCTCAAGGCATGACAGGGGCCAACAGCACCGGGGCTGGGAGCCTGAGCCTTTCCACGCACGCATATGTGCATTTGATGCGCGCACACAGGTACTCAGCCCAGAGGGCCTGAGCCTTGCCTGGGCCAGAGGGAGCTGGGGAGAAGGATGTGGGGCGGGACTTCCTTCACTGGGCTGAGCATGCGCAAAAACCCTCAGCTGGGACTCCATCATCTTCAGGGAGCTGCCCTAGGTCCTTGCCATGAGTGGCAAAGTGGTGGCACCTGAGGCTGGTGACCCCACAAGGACGGGCATGTCAGGCCTAGGCCGCCCATTCAGCCTCACATTTTAGGAAGCTCGCCCTGGTGGCTGACATTGTGGGCCAAGGAGTAGCGCCCCCCAAAGATGTGCCTACGTTCTCATCCCTGGAACCTATGAACGTGACCTTATTGGCAAAGGGGGTCTTTGCGGAAGTAATGAAGTTAAGGATCTTCAGATGAGACCATCCTGGATTACCCTGGTGGCCCCAAATACAATGTGTCCTTATGTGACGGTGGAGGCAGAGATGGGAGTGATGTGGCCACAAGCCAAGGGATGCCTGAGACCACCAAAAGCTGGAAGAGGCGAGAAAGGTCCTCCCCCCAGAGCTTCTGGAGGGGGCACGGCTCTTCAGGCCCCAGTTTCTGACTCCTGGCTCCCATAATTGGGAGACGGTAAATTCGTGTTGTTTTAAGCCTGCAGCTTGTGGTCGTTTGTTTCAGCAGCCACGGGAAACTTAGCTGGCTGATGTGGAGAGAAGACTGGGGGAGCTGGTGGGGTGGGGGTCTGAGGAGGGGGATGAAGGCTGGGTGGGTGGGGGTGAGCGGGAGGTGGAGCCATCAGGAGGTGGAGCCTTGTCACCCAGGCAGAAGGGCTTGGGAACAGTGACGTTTCCTCTCAACTTCTCAGCTCTCTCAAAGCAGCAATTATTTCACTCCATCAGAATGACCCGAGTGAGGCTGCGAGTTCCTTTGTTGCGCCACACACACCTATAACGCCTGACGCACCATTTCCTGTTTGTGCCAGACACAAACGAAAGGTGGCATGGTTCTGTGCGTTGAATACTCAACATGCATCCAGCAAACGTGGAAAACTTTCTACTGTGGGCCGGCCGGGCTGGAAAGGCGAGCAGCAACCAGACCCCCCAAGGGCTGCAGGGCTGCTGTAAAACAGAGACAAACACCCCCAACGCCCTCATTCTGCGCGCAGCATCCCCTCTGGGGCTCATCTGCACGCCAGGGCACTGAGGCAAACCTGGATTTGGCTTTTACGAGACTGACACTGAATCACACGCCATTTCCTGTTGGGAGCCGCCCAAGTCTCAGCGTGAACTCCCGTAAGCGCCCTGCGCCTAGGCTGGGCTTGACAGACGCTCCCCGTCCTACACTGCGCTGGGCCACCAGCCCGGAGCGACACCTTAGTCGGATCCCAGCTCAGGTGCCTGGGGGTGACCTCGTTGCGCCCCGGAGGTTCGGGCGTGCAGCTCCCTTAGGTCGGGCATGTGGCCTTTGGGGACTGGGCTGCGGGGGCCCGACGTTCCCAAGGGCAGGGCTTAGAGGTGAATGAGGGCGGAGCGTGCGGGGTCCCAGGGCGTG